GCCTTCTCCCCCGGGGCCAGCCTCTCCCACAGTCCTGAGAGGCCGCGGGGCTCCAATCCAGGTCTGAGGCCTGCGTCCTGCGGCTCGTCCTCGGTTTCGTGTTGCTGACGCAGCCGGCGGAGGGCGCTGGCTAGGCGGCTGGGCGAGGCGCTGCGGCCGCGGAGCTCTCCAAGCACCTGGTCACGGTAGAAGTCTTCGGCGCAGCTGCCATGCGCCCGGTAGCAACGTAGCGAGCAGTAGGGTACATTACAGCGGGGGCAGGTGTAACGCGCTGGCTGCGCCTCCCCAGCGGGGCAGAAACCACAAGGCCCGGCCGGCTCCATGGCAACTGGCACCGTAAGCCACCCCCGAACGCTTAAGGGGTTGCAGCTCGGCAACTTCCGGCGCCTGTCGGTTACTTCCGCTTCTTTGTGGGGCGACGGAGCGCTTACCCAGAGCTCCCCGAGGACTCTTGACAATTCCCGCCCACACTCGGAAGCCAAGCCCCACCCCTGCCAAGTAGGGCTTGGGCCGGCGCAGGAGCGGTTCGTGACGTACGAGCTCCGCCCTGCGAGGTGAGAGGCGGTATCGAGTGCGTCAGGCTCTCTTCGCCGGTACCAGTTCGCCCCCTAGTGGTTGCTTCCTTAGCACTGTCAAGCGCAGAAACTGTAATTGGTCTTTGCCAAGAACTTACGCGGGGCCATTAATTGTGTCAGGCCCCTAAGAGATGAGGCGCGCCCCTGCTCTGGAGGGACAGCCATTCTACTAGGAGACACAAAGGGAGGAGAGTGGAAGAAAGCCCAAGGTGGGGTACCTAGCCTAGATTAGGTGTGTGTGTTGGGGGCATTTTCCCTCTTCTCAACAAAGAAGCATTTAACCTAAGTTCCTGTTTGATTTCCTCCTTCAAACTTATCGTTTATCCAACTTTAAAGTGAAGATTCCACACTAGGCACCAAAAACACGCTGAGCAAAGAGATGGGTCCTATTCTAATGGAGCTTACAGTTTGTGGCAGAATGGGAGCAATGACCCATAAACCCTACCAAGCGCTGTGACATTGATCCATGGCACTCCTGAAATGAGGTCTGGTTCTTTGGTCCCTCATCTCACATCCAATCGCACCTCGAGTCAGTTCGGCCTTCACAATACCTTGTATTTATTTCAGTATGGATCATAATTCCCCTACCAAGATCTAGATGGATTAGATGACCTTTGTGTCTGTTCATTGTTTGCATCCCCACCACCTTTGGTGGTCTAAACTACTTGCTCCTCAACTGGATGATACCACCTTAACTGGTTTCCTTACTTTCTTGCCATCCTCCCAGAAAAATCAGCCTGAGAAAAGTATTAGACCACAAGTCAGATCACATCAGTCCCTCGCTTAACACCATTCCATCCTTGGTGACCACCCAGTGCATTTGGACTCAAACTCCTCTCCATGTCTGACAGACAATATGCTGCAGGATCTGTCACACACCTCTGCACATAGTCCTCTCCACTGGCACTTTCATCTCATCACTTGATTGGCTCCTTCAGTTTCAGACACTCCATCTTCAGAGAGCTTCCCTAGGATAGTATGTCCCATCTACCTAACAGCACATTACTGACTTTCTTTGAGGCTGTAACTCTTTTAGTTTCCTGACTTCCCACCCAAGAATCTAAATTCCTAGGAAGCCATGTCTAAAGAGACAAAACCAGGCAATATATTTGAACATTGGTGACAGGTGCTGAACTAAGCACTTTACATCCTTTATTTAATCCTCATAGCAACTCTCAAGAGATGGCGGCAGAGATTAATTATAAATGGAGTGAGGATCCAAACTAAAGGCAGTCCAAGTCTAGACCAAGTCTTTACCTCACAGTATGCTGTTTTCCAGAAAGCAGCAGGTTCAAAAGCTTTAGCTGAATGAGTGGGTATGCATGTGCTGCCAACAGGGAATCTTGAATCAGCTCCAGAGAACTGTATTTCTGGAAACATGGAAATAATCAACTGATCGACCTGAGCTGTGATTAGGTTAGCAAGGCCAGCCAGGATATCAGAAGTACAAACAAGGTTACTGCAGGGCCAATGTAAGCAGCCAATGCTTTCCGAAGCTGAGGCAGATCACGTTCCTATCCTGGACTCCATTAAGGACACAGCTGGTCCCAAGTTCAGGGAAAGGCCAGATCTTCTGCTAGAACTCCTCCCCACCATTGCTGCCTCCATAAAACCTCCCATAATTCCTGCTATCTTCTGTCTAAAAGAACAACGATATCAACAACAACAAAAAAGATTTGGGGAAATTATCAAGTTGAGATGAGCAATTTTTCCAAGTCTACATTTGAAAGGCTGGTGTCTGTGGTTGCTAGTTTTCATAGGAAGCCTTTTCTTATAGTTTACCCAGCCCTCCTCCAAGGGCCTCTGCCTCTTCCTAATTTGACACTGCCAAGAAACCAAAATGAAAAGTCACTGTTCTAGTGGAAACACTGCCAGCCCTAAAAGCCATCTCTCTCCCCGAGGCCCTGGAAATGAAAATGAAACAAGATGACCGGCTAAGTGGCTTTATTAGAGAAAGCCCAGGTTACAGAGAACTTAAGAGTTGGCATTGGGGCCCTTCTTCTTGCCAAAGGTGGGCACGACATTGACAAAACGCCGGTTGTACTGCATCCGCCGCTTGGCCCGACCAGTCTTCTTCTTCTTTTTCTCCTGTTTGGCCACCTGAGAAAAGGGAGGGCTGATTAGATTCTGGTTGACCTCTTCCATGCCCTCTCAGCTTCAGGGAAGGAGAAGACAGTTCGAGAGCCACAGGTCTTAGATTAGCTGTGATAGGAAAAAAAACAAAGTCCAAAGGACACCACCAGAAATCTCACCTACCTTGGGAGTCTGACCTCTTACTTTCCCAGCACGGGCCAGGGAACCATGGACTTTACCTGCGGTGGAAAAGGAAAACGAGTAGTTAGGACAGCAAAAAGGTCCCACAGGGGTGAGAACAAAGCTGCAAAGATGTGATGCCTGACCAGCAAGGCCTAGTCTGGTACAGGCTAGGGTTTCACTTCAGGATTTCCTAGCACCTCACTTTAAACAAGAACATAAGAGCACCTTGGGGAATCTCTTCTAACCCCTTGACTTTAGTGAGGAAACAAATAGACAAGGATCTAATAAGTAACTGATGAAATAGAACTGTACTCTGGCTCCATCTCCCACGGATCTCTCAAGATCTCAAGAGCTCAGTCTGCGGTAAACAGGAAGAACCACCCTGGATTGAGGATACTGATCTCCACACCTTACACCCACTACGTGCTTACAAGCAGTTCAAAGGACAGTCCTCCCCAACTCACCTCCAAGCATGCGGCCGGCTACTTCCAGAGTGGTCAGAGCCTCCACCCCACACTGGCCCAGGGTAGCCTCATCCTCCAGGGGCGTGCCTGCCAGGAGCACGACTTGATCTTCTGGAGCGATGCCCTCCAGAGAAGCTACATGAGCCTACAGGGAAAGACGAGCCTCATTACCCTTCCCGAGAAGAACGAGGTTAAAGAACACAAGAGGATGGAGCCCGGGGAGCACGACCCAGCCTTACCTTGATCTGGGCGACCGTTTCCTGGCCGGTCACCTCGAGGGTGTGTAGCTCCTGGGCGCGGACAAAGAGCTGCATGTCGGCAACTAAGGGAAGAAATGCTTGTAAGGAAAGACATGCTCTGGGAGAGAGGGACTCGGGGAATGGGTGATGGGCCGGGGACGATCGCGAGTCTCACGTGGGCCTGCCAGGGAGGTTGGGTGATGACAAAGACCCATCCCACAAAGCAGCCCCTCTTCCTCTATCTTTCCCGCGTCCTCTGACCTCCCGGCCAACCCGCTATTAAACCCTCTGGATCCAGCCGTGCCCCAAATTTTACCTGTACTGTGGCCGCCGCCGCTACCGCGAAGATGGAGTCGAGAAAGAGGAAGAAGCAAGGGCGTACACGTACTCGCCGCCTGCTGCGTCTCACGTCACTGCTGAGCGACTGCGAGGCCTCTGATATTTATACCGCCTAGGGCCGTCTAGTCCTTCCCCCTTACGCTTTGCGCAGGCGCCCTTTGCGTCCCGGGCGACGTGCGCAGGAAGGGGCGGGGCCAGGCCGGTTACGCGCCTAGAAGGCTAGTGTACGAGGTTGGTTCAAGATGGCAGCGAGTGTGTTCCGGGCTTCTCTGCGGGGCTGGAGAACCGGCGTCCTACCTGGCTGCAGGGCACGGCGGCTGGTGAGAGCGCTGAGCTTGGAGCTGGGGGCAGAGGGCTGTGTGTGAGGCTCACTGTTATTCTTTGCGACCTTGAAAACTGCGTTCCTAATTAGGGCCTTAGCTTTCCCATCTGATCGGGGGCACTTTTCTGGAGCTCAGATACAAGATTGAGAAGAGGTGGCGGGGCCTGTAGCGCCCTTCGGAGTGTGGGGGTTGAAACCTGGTTAGAGGACAATCCCGGTTAGTCAGTACTGGGAGGGGCTGCACAACGACTCTCGTTGCCTAATTTTTTGAAGGAGAAATTGGTCCACAGGATCCACAGGTCGGCTCGATCCTTGGTGATAGATACTTTTGGGAGCCTAGAGCTCATGATATACAGGCCATTTCACCCTGCCTCCCTGTTCTCATTGTAACCCCGCGCCCTATCAGGACTGCGTGGTTTCTATTGGGAGAAGTGTCCAAGAAGGATCTTTAGGCCGGAGAATGGGAGGACAGACACTGGAGTGTGACCTTACGTAGAATTTTTATGTTTTAATCTTCCTTGGATGCAAAAAGGGGTAATAAAGTAAGTTACTTGTTGCATTCTAAGAATTAAGAGAAAGCAATACCCTTAAAGCATTCAGTACAGTGCCTGGTGGTGTCTGTATGAGGCCAAAATCTTCCAGGTAAGGGAGGGTCACATCAGATGAGTGTGAGTAGAAAACTATCACGATTGTTGAAGTCACTAACCTAGAACTAGAATGTTTCTGTAGAACTTAGAGAAGAATCTTTCAATACTGAAATATGCTGTAATAGTCAGACTTAATGGTTAATTGGCTCACAGAAGTATACACACACTTATTTGAATCCAAAGAGAGACTAAGAAAGGCAACCCCTTCGGAATGCTAAAATTTCTTTTCTAGTCCCCCTTATACCCTGCACCTTGACAAAGTGAAGTCTGGTGCTTTATTTCCAGCTGTTTGTTTATGCCATTCTCGCCACTTCTAATGTTTCCTTTTTCTACTTACTAAAGGCCTCCTTGTTCTGTGTTGGGTGGGTGGGTGGCAAGTGGGCTGATGGAGAGATGGTTGGTTTTTGTTTTTGTTTTTGCTTCAGAGCCAGACTCAGGGGCCTCCCAATTACCCCAGCTTCGTGGAGTCTGTGGACGAATACAAGTTTGTGGAGCGCCTGTTACCCCCTACCAGCATCCCAAAGCCCCCAAAGCATGAACATTATCCTACTCCTAGTGGCTGGCAGCCCCCCAGAGGTGAGCTGCATAATGTGGATGGCTTGAAGGCTGCAGGGAGGAACCCCTCCTTAGTGGTCGGTCTGCCCTAGCAGAGACTCTGAACAACTCAGGAGGTTCAGAACTTGCTTTGAGATCTCTTGGGGTGAGGATCTGTCTCATGTTCAAGGAAGAGCTCAAGAATGGAGCCCACACTATTGGGATGAGGTCTTTCCATGAAGGAAAAGTGAAGTACAGAGAGAAGACCCAAGAGCTTGGACATATCTCCCCTCTACCCTGCAGTAGGCCATGTACCATAACTGAGAACACAGCTTCGGAGTTGGGCAGTTCTGGGTCCAAATTTGACTCTGCTATTCACTGCCAGTGTGATCTTGAGTTAGTCATTTAGTTTCTCCTAATCTGTTTCAGCAAAATGGAGATAATCTGTTTGGCACATAAAGCACTTAGTGCTGAGTCCAGCATATGATAAGTGTTCACTGCTTATAAATCCCCATCCTTTTGTGCCAGAGATTGATTGTAGCCTCCCTGAGCCAGAGAAGGGCAAGGATTGGCCCCAGGGAGTTACCCAAAGCTCCAGGGAGGTACGGTCCTGACCTCATTTCTCCTGAGCACTTTCTGGTGCCAGGCCCTGTGCTGGGCCTTAGGGTACCAGGGTGAACAAGCTGGTCCTGACTCTAAACATAGGGCAAGAGCAGGTCTGACCTGAAGTCTAGAAGTGGCTTTGCCATCAGGTGCACTGATCATCTGCAGACTCTGAGGGGAAAGGCCTCTGCCGAAGTGGGATGAAGCCTGGAAAGACTTGGCCCATCACCATTCCTCTGTCCCAGGTACCCCACCCGACCTGCCCTACTTTGTGCGGCGCTCTCGGATGCACAACATCCCTGTCTACAAGGACATCACACATGGCAACCGCCAGATGACTGTGATCCGGAAGGTTGAGGGGGACATTTGGGTAAGTTGGTGGGTGGGTCAGGGTCTGATTGTGATCCTCTCAGGGCTGAAGGGATGAGAGTCCTCTAGAGGGGAAGGTCTCCTGACCAGGCCTGGTTTGTCATCTTTTCCCAGGCCCTGCAAAAGGATGTGGAAGATTTTCTGAGCCCACTGCTGGGGAAGGCACCTATCACCCAGGTCAATGAGGTGACAGGTACCCTGCGGGTCAAGGGCTACTTTGACCAGCAGCTCAAAGCCTGGCTCCTAGAGAAGGGCTTCTGAGGCCCAGCTGAGCAGCCTGCATGACAGCGTCCCCCACAGACTGGATTCCAGGGGATCTCGAGGGAGATTGGTGTTGGAGCAACCAGGATCGGGGTACAGAAACTAGGGCTGAGAGCTTGGGCAGGGTAGAGGGCTGACGGGCTTCAGAGCAGGCTTGTTTGCATAAAGGGGGAAATGGGACCCTCTACACAGGTGCCAGCTCTGGGAGAAGGCTAGCTAACCAGAAACAGCTGAGCTAGTGGGCGTCATTAGCTGTACCCCCTTGCCCCCGACTTTGATCTGTTCCTGCTTTCCCTTCATTGGAGCTCCTTGGGCTCACTTATTCAAATTCTGGAGGTTGTTAACTGCCCCTCTGGTGGAAGCAATAGCTCAGCCACTTCAGGGGAGCATAGCACAGGACAGGGCATACTCCAGCCTTGGCCCTCAGATCTTCACTGCTACAAACAT